AGGCATGAAAGGATTCTCTGAGGGAATGTGGCACTGCCAACATGCTGATTGTTACTTCTGGACTCCAGAACTGTGAGAATGATCTATTATTTTAAGCTTGCTAGTTTGTGGTAATTTATTGCTGCAGCACTAGAAAACTAATAAATCATCATATAAATTTTTCCTTCTCTTTACCAATAACCAATAGTATTTGTGTCTGTATTTAAAGTGACTTCTTTATAAACAGAATGCAGTGGGGCCCTTTCATTTTTATCCATTCTGACATTCTCTGTCTTTTAATTTATGTTTAATTATAAAATGGTTGGATTTAAGTCAGCCATTTTGTTATTTATTTTCTATTTAATTTGTTTTTCTCTGTTCCTTCTTTATTTGGGCTTACTTGAATTTTTTTTTTTTTTGTATTTCAACTTTATTCCCCCATTAGCTTTTCAGGTATCCTGCTTTTCATTATTTTCAGTGATTCCTCTAGGGCTGCAAGTGTTACTAGCCACGTGTGGTAACTTTAAAATTTAAGATAACTAAAATTAAATGAAATTAAAATTTAGTTCTCCAGTCACAAAATCCATATTTCAAGTAGTCAATAAGTATGTGTGACTGGTGGCTACCTTAAAGGACAATGCAGATATTGAGCATGTTCATCACTGCAGAAAATTCTATGGGTAACTTATCACAATCTACTTATAGTCAATATTATACTACTTTAAATAAAATATTGGATCTTTGTGAGAGTATAGTTCCTTTACCCACCCCATCCTTTGTAAAATTTTCATACATTTTACATATGTTTCAGATTCATAATCATTCTATTTTCAGATCCACATTATTTGACATTATAAATTGCTTACGTATAATGTCCAAAAGGTATCTAGCCAGATAATATGAAAAATAGAGACATTTATTGAAGAAGATATAAGAAACATTGTACATAAGACATTGATGCCTCAGTCCCTTCCAAAATAGGTAACCTGGGACCTCACACAGTTTCTCATAATTGCCATCATAACCTGCCCCATCATATTTTCCTGAATCTCATCAATCATGAGAAATCTCTTCTCTTTCAAAGGTGATTTTAGTTTTAGGAAAAGCCAGAAGTCACAGGGCACCAAATCTAGGCTGTAGAGGGTCTGAGTTACCTGGGTGATTTTGTGGTTTCACAAAAAAACTATGCAGGAGACATGATGCATGAGCAGGCATGTTGTTGTCATGAAGCCGCCAATCACCAAGTGACCATAGCTGCAGCCTTCTGAATCATCCAAATAGTTTCCATGGAGGAATGTTCAAGCTTAACACAAAATCTGATGCAGACTCATTGCTCTACTCACTCAGTCATTTTGAATGCAACAGCCACATAGTACATGTTGGGAACCACCCTGCCTGGTACCAGAAGCTGTAACCCCTGCCTAGGCTAAGGCTAAGGGAACACCCTTGGAACTGTGAGCCAGCAAGGAGACAAAAGCTTATCTCCCTGGCAGGAGCGCTGCTTCTGCTGCTTCATTCATAATTGAACCCCAAAGCTTGGTCAGTTAGCCAAAGACAGGTAAGATTCCCCAAGGGGGGAACGACCTAAGACAGGCACAATCACGTGGGAGGCCCCCAAGAAAGGACTTTGAGGGCTACAGCAAAAGCGGGTGATGGACCCTTGCTCCTCCGCTTTGATATAGCCTGATTCCTCATCGTCTGGGAGAAAATCTCCTTATCTCTCGGTTGCCTCACTTCCCTTGCTCCACCTAAGCCTAAAACAATGACAAGGTGGTGCAGCTCTGTGCTGGAAAGGGCGGATTCCCCGGGTGATCAGGCCTAAGAAAGAACATGTAAATTCCTGTGAAACCTTCTTTGTTTAGAATGCTCTCAGCTGAATGAGAAGGGTCCAAGAAGGAAGTTAGTTTGTTCCTTGAAGTTTTACAGCTCTTTGATCCTGACTCAAAATAGGCCCTCAGACTTCCTTGTTATCTATTGTTTGATCCTTACTTCCTAGCAATGAGTACTGAGCTTTTACCTGAATTCTTATGCAAATGAAACCAATAAAAAGCCTCTCTGGAGGGGAACAGGGCGCTTTTCCCAGGGAGGGTGGTCAAGTGGCACGCTCCCCATGTGAGGAGTGGCCATGGAACCCTCCAGGAGAGAGGGTGGCCAAGGCACTCCCCACGTGAGGAGTGGCCCTGCTGTTCCTATTCCCCCACAGGACCTGGTTGTCTCTGTGTATGTTTTTCTCAAGTTTTAATGAGCCATCCACAGCGTTCCGTGATCACTGCTGGCTGGTGACCCATGCATCAAGTACACATGCTCACTCAACGATGTTTACTGCCCCACTGACTGGTACAGTGGAGTCATCATTGTTCATGCATGCACATTCCAGTCCACTCTCCCTGGCTGTCAGTTAATGTCAATCAATGTAGCACAAACCTTTCTGCTTATGTTAACAATAGCTGGACTTTTTCCAGACAGGTCTCGTATATGACCCAAAGATTTGTGAATTAGAAATCATTCTGGATTAAGAAGAAACATTAAATTTAACTAACAGTGATATATAAATTTAAATATTTTATTCTAATTTATCCTATACATATCTACAAAATCTAATTTGTGAATAATTGATTGTGCAATTAGAAGTATTTGAAAGAAATTGAAATGTGGGCAAAATAGGTAGAGCGTTTTTTCCTAGGATTCTTTTAATAGGATACTAAGAATTTCCTTTCAAAAAAAGCAAAATGTAAGCAAAGACACTGAAATAGAGGACAGGCTGACAGTGACCAGAGGGGAGAGAAGAGGGAATTTCAGGGGACAGTGGGAAGGGTTCACGGGAACAAATTTAAAGGACACATGGACAAAAACTAGCGGGAGGGTGGTAATGGGAGGGAAGTGGGGAGGGTTGGGAGGGGGACTGGATTGGGAGTAAAAGGGAGAAAACCGTACTTGAACAATGATTAAAATAAAATTTTTTTTTTAAAAAAAAGAAACTCTAACGTAAAAAAAAAAAGAATTTCCTTTCAGTTTAAGGTATCAATAAAGAACATTGTCTCTATTTTTTCCCTAAATAAACAAATGTGAGTGAATTCTCATTTAGATACATTTTATTTTATTTATGTACTTAATTTTCAATATCTGTCCTATATTTGTTTCTATTTTAAGCTGGCTACAATATGTAAATAAAATGTCATCCATCTCACGTGATAGTAGTAGATAAAGTTTAGCAAATAAACTATAACAGGAAAGGAATTGGTATGTATTCTTCAGGTCTTCCTCTGAAAGGCCTTGTTTATATCACATACAAGCCCCTTCCCCTTCCAATTTAAGTTGAACCTTCCCTTATCTTCTAACCCTATTCTTTCTCTTAGTGGACTTGTATAATTTGCAGTGTATAATTAATATATTGATTTGCATTTATATTGCTGAACATATTTCTACCTCACTAGTGTATAAACTCCACAAACATCCATGTTTTTTATCTCACCCAATTCCAACCAGAATGCCACATTGTAGTTGCTTGATAAATATTAAATAAATTAATGAATAAATGGAGGATGCTGCATGACTAAATAGTGAAAATAACAGGAATGTTTAGTAACCTTTTCTGTTTTCCCAAGTTATATTTTTTATAGTCCTCTATGTTTTAGATTCAAAGATCTAGAAGTACAGCATAATTTTAGCAAAAAATTTGGAGGTAATGTTACATCGAAAACATTATTTGGTATATTCTGCTGTTATTAACAAGGCCTTAAAATAAATATGAATTGTGGATCTCCAGTATCTTTCTTTTTAAAAAAACCGAGGATATATTTATCCATTTTAGTGAGAGAGGAAGGGAGAAAGAGAAACGTGGATCGGTTGCCTTTCATAGGCACCCCTACCTGGATGGGACCCACAACCTAGGCCTGTGCCTTAACCTGGGATGGAACCTGCGACCTGCTAACTGTCAGTGTATGAGACGACGTTCCCACCAACAGACGCACCCAGCCAGGGCGGATCTCTAATTTCTCTATTCACAAATTTTAATCAAATGTAATGTTCACACCAAGTGCCAACCGGTACAGTGTAAACTGCGTGACATCTTATTTTTCATCAAACCTCCCAATTTCCTGTATTGATGTATTTATATTAGATGTTATTTAACTGTCAATTATATAGTCCATGTCATTTTGCTCCAAATTAAGGAACACATGTTATTGCAGAGTTCCTAAAAGCTATTGAAATGTTCATTTGTTGCAAAAGCTCTGTAAGACATGAAATGAGAGATAACTGAGGAAGTGAGGGTCTCTGGTGGGTTTGCTTCCGTACAAGGCACGCAAAGAGGGCACAGGTCTGATTGTGCCTCTGCTCCTCTCTGCACTATACACATTGGGAATTAAAAAATGGGTACAGAGTACAATTTTATATTCTCATTTTAACAAATACAAATAGTATGTGATAATTACATGCGCTCATATTCAAATTTTTAACACGTATGGCAATTATTGAAAGTGATGTCATGGACCTCCTGATTTAGAGATTTTTGTATTAAAGTAGGGATTCAAAGTGCGAACGGTGTGCTTGTGCGTAAGACTTGAGCTTGAAAAAGGAGTGGCCAGTGCACAAATCTCTGCAGGTACTATATTGAGGAATGCAAGATCTTCAAGCTAGCGTCTGTATCCCTTCACCTGCTTTTCCATTCTTATTTACCAATACCCAAATCAAAGACACAGTGGTATTTTAAGTGTTGTAATGGCAGCTCTGGGTGGGGACAGCACCACCACTGCCAGTGGCACTGTATGCTGCTGCGCCAGGTTCGGGAGGCAGTATTTACGGTATTGAAGATTGGTGCGCGCAGCGTTGTTTACGGTCTTGGGGGCCGGCCCAGAAGGCCATACTTGGGGTAATGTGAACCTAGAGGCGGTATTTCCAGTAACGTGGATTAGCCAAGGCTGCGGTACTTACGGTAATGGAAGCCGACCATTGTGGTTGTATATACGGTAAAGAGAGCCGCTTGACCAGCGGTATTTACGGTAAGGGGGGGCCGGGTTCGTGGATGCTGGTCAGCGCGGAGGGCTCTCCGCTTTATCAGGTGATCTCCAGCACTGGTGGCCACCACCTCCTTCGCCCAAAGGAAAATGCACAATGGCCCACCAGGGCAGTGAGGGGCAGTGGCCCTGGGCCCGCACCTCCCGCACCCCTACCCTGGGTCCAGGTGCAACCCCCTCAAGTCCAGCAGCTGAGGGTCCTGCCTGAGCCTTGCGCCAGCTGACCTCGCGTCGTGCCGCGCCCACATGGGTCTGTGCTACAGTCTGAGGCCGCTGCTCTTCGGAGACGCAGAGGATGCCCCGCGCACAACCTCAGAACCGGCCACTGAAGCGGCGCGGCAGAGCCCAGTCTCTGTCCCGGCGCTTAGGAGGGACGTTGCTCTGACCCCTCTCCCTTGGGGCGCTGGCAGGAGTCCCGCATGCGCCGGACCCAAAGCCAACCCAAAGAAGGAACGGAGGCGACGCCCGGACCAGCTGAGCGCCGAGGAGCGTGAGGCCGAGCGGGAGGCGAGGAAAATCAGCAGGAACATTGACCGCATGCTCCGGGAGCAGAAGCGAGACCTACAGCAGACGCACCGGCTCCTGCTCCTGGGTAGGTGTGCTGGGCGCTGAAAGCGCGAATTCAGGGTTGGGTGGGGGTGAGCACCGGCGCTGCTCTGCAGGGCTCTGGCGGCAACCATATCCCTGAGCGGAGGCCCGCTGTCATCGCCACCCAGGGTGAGCGACGAGGGCAGATGCGAAACAGGACGGTTTCTCAGCCTTAAATCCTATGCAGAATGATTCTTGCCCTGACAACATTTACTTCAGTGATTTGGCTGAGAACGCCCTGTGATTTTGCTCTTTTCTACACCTTGCAGTTTTGGCCAGTCGCTCACTTATTACCAATTAATGAGTTTCTCTGGGAATTTTCCCTTCTCAATTGATTTATTTCCACAGTATGTAATCCACAGGGATGGCTAACTCGAGCATCTCATTTCCTGCAACAGTAGTAGTCCTGCTGCACTTCAAGAACACAAATGAAAGATTTATGAACCCTTTTAGCCCGGTCACAAAGCGTTTCTTCCAATCACAGAATAATAGCCGAGTTGTCTGTAGGTGTGGCTTGTTCCCTTTCGAGAAATAACTTCAACAGCTGAAGATATGGCACTTCTGTCTCATTAAGCACAACCCTGGTGCTCTCAGAATGTTTGCTCCTCTTTCAGGAGCAGAATAGCGTGGCTGGCCCCCACAGCTAATCTCTGTACTAACCGCATGCATGAAAGTGGGAGCGAAATCACCAGTGTTTTAAAGTAATAAACTACATGATTTGCCAGTATATTCTTAGAGGTTTAGCTGTAGCAAGCATAAACAGCCCTACAAGTTAACAGAAAGAAAAAAAAGTTACATGCACGCTACTGTAGAATCGAAGAAAAAAAATCATGAATTCCAGGTGTTACTTGTTGCCTTTTAAATTTTAAGGCAAAAAAAAAAAATAAAAAAATGTAAGATGTGAGCTTTTGACCCAAATTTTGTTAAATACATATACAGAAGAATAATTATTCAGGTCTGTACTCTCCTGTGTATAGGGAAAGAACATAGTCCATGATTTGAGTAAGATCTCTGCTTATAAATGAATGTGACTTTTATTTAAGGTCTAGAAAACAAATCTCAAGTTTGAAATGGCTCACCCACTGCAAGAGTGAAAGATAAAAACACAAAACTAGCTGCAGTTCTGGTAAAATCTCTGGATTCTAAGATAAAATAAATTTGGGGGAGAGACAAACAAAAATGAAAAAGCAAGTTGCCTGACAGGGGGCAGCAAATCAGGTCAGAAGCAGAGTTCTCATCCACAGTGCTGACTTCCTGAATACCGCAGAGCAGTGTTTTCAGAGGTCTGAATTACGGAATTATAACCTTAGAATTTCACACCTCATTAAACCACTGTGTGTGTGAGGGTAAAATAGATTTTCAGATATCCCCACATGTGTATTTTTTCTGAAAAGAAATTAATTAGAAATTATTACAGCCAAGTGCATCAGATTAAAATAACTCAAAAAGTAGAGCATTGTGGTCTCAAGAAATAAGAGAATAAAATAAATAAGGTCTAGAGTTGTGGCAATGCAATGTCATTTTAATGTGCTTTTGTTGTCGAGCAGAAAAGGTCATGTGAAGCTATGTATGTGTGTGTATGTGTATATATATATATATACACACAGAGATACACAAGCACAAACTTGCAATTCTGTGAAAGGAACTGGAAGATAAGATCTAAAGAATGGACTGGTGAGCTCCAAAAAGCTAACTTGTAATACACGTTGAAAGACTCTCCTCTTTAAAGACATTTTATAGACTAATGTAGCTTGTATATCACATCATATCTGAAAAGACAGTGAATCAAATGGCTCACACTTTGGGGGGGAAATGTGACATCAACAGTAAAACACATAGTATTATATCAGGTCAGTTTTGTTTATTGGCTTTTGTGTATATTTAAATTAAACACAGAAAGGTTCTTAGTTTTTTTAGGGTTTAGAATGGATTTAAGGTAGAAATCTCTGAATTGGAAGACTGATTTATAGACTGTTAGTATCTTCAAATGCTTGCTTCTGCTGCCATTATGTTTAATAGCCATTTATCTTGCTTATTGACCCCATTCACTCACCTAATTATTCTAGCAGTGTGCACTAGGGGACAGAGAACTCATAGGTTCAGGAAGGACAGACTGGCTTCAGGGTCCTTCCTTACTCCATACCCATTAGTCTAAGGCTAGATCCATCTTCGGAGATAGTATCTCCTCCAAGAGACCTGCCCAGCATCCTCCAGTGGGAATAAATGTTTACTTCCCATATGTCCATATTGAATTCTGTTTGCCGTTCTCATATATCACTTTGTTCCACTATGCATGGGTGCTTTCATATGCTCTGACTCCTCCATGGGTCCATCCCGATGACCTGAACTTTGTTTCCTACACAAGACTAAGACCTGTGTACCCCACACAGTGTTAAGAAAACAGGAGGCTTGGAGCCAGCATGGCAATGAGGGTTTCGTGGCAAGAGTAATGTGGTCCCATTTTAACTTTTAGATGGAGCATTCTTTCAGGCATCAGATGACTGTAGCATGTCAGGTGGAGATAAGATAAAAGTTCCAGTTAGGTGGCAGCCAATTCAGAATGAATTATAAAGTCCAAACTAGAGCAGTGTGGTAGGAATGGGGCTGGAATGTTCTTGAAGTGGGCAAGCCAACACATGTGGAAGGTGGACCATGGGGAGGAATTCTCAGGTAACTGTCACATTCAGAGCATGAATTGTGTGTGTATTTGTTGGTTTCAACTGCCACAACAAAATGCTACAGTCTGAGTGGCTTAAACAGCAGACATTTATTTTTCATAATTTAGAGACTGTAAGTCCAAGATAGAGGTCTAGTAGGATTGGTTTCCAATGAGGCCTCTCTTCCTGGACAAAATTCAGTCCAAAACTCATATAAGAGGTTGTATGCCCTATGTAAAAGAGACAGTACATCCAGCTTCATTCCATTGTTGCCTTATGGGAATATAAGCCCAATGTTGCCAGGCTTTCTGAATTTCCAGAATACGATAGAAATGTCCATTTGCATTTGAAACCTACTTATTTTTAAGCATTGGCTCAAATTAATAAATTACAATTTTTATTATTGATGCAGTCCACAGGCTGCTTCTTATCTCTGATCTATCTTAAGCCACACAGACAACAGCCCTGGGCCAATGCCAATTAAAAGCACAATTGGCAAGACTGGGTGTGAGATCAAAATATTTATCCAAACACACAATGCAAGCAAAGCTACATTCACCATTCTTCAAGTGAATTTTCTGCCAGTGAGCTTATAATATTGTAGATGACGTTGATTTTTCTTCCACATCTTTTGTTGACTATGATGTAAATTCCTGTTCACTTTCCAAATGGGGAAAAGTCATCATGTGCCACCTAACTATTTGTTTGACATTAATATCCTTTGGCCAGATAATTATTCAAATTTAAAATGGCCAGTTGTGGGTAGCATTTGTGGGAGGTTTTGCTTTATTCAATTATTTCCTGTTGTTTATCTGTGTGTTTGGTACAGTACTTCTCTGCCAGGAATACATTTCAAAAAAGAAGAAATCTATGTGGGACAACTACTGCCTATTTATTTATTTGTATTTGACTGTTAGTGTACAGAGTAGGGTGAAACAAGGTTTATAATTGTTTGTATGGAAAGTAATACAATAGCTAGTAAATAATAATACAAGAATAAACTCTGTGTTTTGCATACTCACAACTATAAACCTACTTTTGCTCTACCCTATAAACAGAATGCTGGCATGATCTTAATCTATGTCTTTAGTTTCTCTAAGAGGAAATTTCTGGTGCAGTTGCAAAACAAAACAAAAGAAAACCCAGAACAACAAAACTTCACTGTGAGGTTTTGAACAGTTTTGTTTTGTTCTGTTTTGTTTTCAAATAAATACCCCTTTTTTTTACTTTAATGGTAATGCAGTCAGTGACCACGACAGCAGTTTTTGAGGTGTGTGGTAGACTTGAGCTGTGTGGAACTCTGGGACACATCCTCATCAATGTGCTGCCTTCACTGGGCCACCACCTGAGACAGCACTGTGGCTGTTAAAGTCAGTAGAAGATATAAAAAATTACAGCTAAACTATAAATAACCATCACTCAGAACCATCAGAAATCAACTTGAATGGAAGGTTCGACAACTGCCAAATTAAAGAATCCACATCCATCCAGACTGGTTGGAGGGGCAGAGACACAGAGACATGGAATGGACTGGTTCCACACCTGTGTGTGGTGGATAAAAATTTGGGAGGTATACCTTGGAAGCGAGGATTCCCAGCCCCACATCAGGACCACCAGCCCAGGATTTCAGTGCTAGAAAAATAAGTCTCATAACTTCTGGCGACAAAAACCAGTGGAGCTTCAGTCTGTAAAAGAAACTTCTGGAATCCCAAGCAGTTTCTCTTAAAGAAACCACACACGGACTTACTCAGACTCACTCCCTCTAAACTCTAGGACCAGGATAGCAGCTTGAAAGTCACCAGCAGCACACGGGGAGGGAGTGAAATGTCTGGCATCAAGGCAAGAGCTGGGGACAGCTTTCTCTCAGACAGGTGAGCAGAGGCCATTGTTCCTTTTCTGAGCCCTCCCCATGCAGAGCCAGCAGGTGGGTACAATATCTGAGACTTCATCACCCAGGCTTATACTTTTGCCCTGTTCCGGAGATCCCCTGAGGTCTGCCCTGCCCAAATTATGGGCCCACTCAAGCTATTAACAGTGGCTTTTCCATATAAATGGCTGGTCTTGGTTCATGCTTCACAACTTCATAAATTCTCTCAAACAAGCAACAGCCAGCCTTAGTGAGCCCCTAGCCCCTATCTATACCTCTTGCTAAGTGGACCCAGGCCCAGCACTAGCCACAGCCAACCTAGGTTCACAGCTTGACTTTGCCTGGGAATCTTTAAGCCCAGTACAAGTAGCAGGCATCTGCAGGTTGCTTTGTAACTCATGCCACGTGGCCTTGAGCAGAGCACAGCTGGGGGCTGACCTTGGCCTGCACCACCTGAGAAACTACAGAGCCTGCCCACTC